TTCAATTAATTTTCATTGCAGAAATCTGAAAATGTGTTGTTATATAATTTCTGAAATGGCAGCAAGTTGTTAGTTAAAAAAGTGATAATATATTGTATTTGACGCAAAATGGCGTTGTGATTAATAGAAAAATATTATCCAAATAAGAGTTGGATCCTCCATTAGGTATAAAAGAATGTTTTATTTACATTTTTATGGTACTATATACATTCGAGCCATGAGCCCGCAAGAATCGAACTCACAATTCAAAACTGAAACTTAATCTGACGTCAACAGTAGGTGCACCATATTTATTTGCATATTTTCTCTGCGGTACTTAAAAAAATATTTATTTGAAGCATTAAATTTTGGGACGGATTTCTTTTGCATAAGAAATAAAAAAAAATATTTGTATCCATTGAAAAGCAGACGATATTTTCAATATGCGTATTGTAAAATTTTATAACATCAATAAAAATTAAAATTAGACTAGTGAGAATTAGGTGACTAAGATTACTGAGAAATAACACAACAGCAACAATAAATTCTAATCATTTTTCCAAAAATTTAATAAAAATTTTTAAGCAAATAGTTAAAAATTTAAATTAAACAAATTATTTTTTCATTAAATTTTCGCAATTCAGAATTCACACGTGCAACATGAGCGTAATCACCTTTGCTCAAAAACAGATCTACTAATAAATGTTTTTTTCTAAATTTGGAAAACAGTGGCATATTTTTAATATATCGTAGTTTTTTCGATAATTTAAAAAAAATTATATTTTAAAAGTTGACGATAGTAAAAAAAATAAAAAAATTAGTACGTTACAGTTATTTTTTTTTATTACTGTAATTAATATTTAATGCAGTTTTTTTTTTAAATATTCCAAAAAGTTTTTCTAAAATGATTTTTTAAACTTTAAAAAAAAAAAATGTTTTGACTGACTCAAAAATTGAAGAAAAAAAAATCAAAATGAGAGATATCGTTTATTAAGCGATTTTTTTTCCATCCTAACTTTTTTAACTGTTAGGAGGCTATATATCTGGGGGTGAGAGGGGGTAAAGTAAAGCAAAGGGTATCTTGCATCAGGAAGTGTGAGGTTGAAATTTACTGGTGGATTTCCACATACTGCTTTCATAAACGAGGATCCTCGATGGCAATTGTGAAAACGCGTATGTGTGTCTTGCTTCGATACTGGGATTGTTTGGTGGAACTATTTCAGGTTTCTTCCATTCCTTCACTTATATACAATACAGGGCAGCTATTCCTAAAAGCCATTGCAGGAAGATAATCATCTTCCGCTCATCTGTTATTCAAGATATACAATAGCTTATATTTTCATCTGAAATACAAAAAAAAAGCTTGATCCTTATTTTTGATTGATTAGAATTTAAGTTTTTCTATTCGTTTGGAGGTGGATAATCGAATAATATTCACTATTTAGTATTGTAATCGTCCTTCCTTATACGCACTGCAAGATCGCCCCTTTTGACGTTCAGAAGAAATGGTCAGTAGACCGCGAGAATGGTCAGTAGACCCCAGAGAAAGTACAGCGCAACTTGCACAGCCTTTGAGAAATTTGCAGTTTATATTCTCTCATCTCGACCTAAAATATATTTAAAGCAGCCCTGTGTGTAAGATATGGAATGAAAACACTCACCCGAAGAGGAAGTATATTACACGCATCCCGCGCATACCTGAGTATCAGGCTTTCGGCTTAGTAGTGGAATCCTTCCCCGAATCTATAATTATCTGTCTATAAATGTGTTAAAAAGCATGTGTGTATTTGTACATGTGTGGTGTTTGTGCGTGTTCAATAAAGTTGTGAGTTCTCCAACCTGAGTCTCAAGTCTCAAACCAACCACATCCAGTTACAACTCAGCTGCACAACCTACATATTACAATCTGAAGCCTTACGCGGGTTCCTTCCGTACCCACCCCAGTACAATATTATGATATATTTTTTAAAACAAAAATTTTATTAAATTAAGTATTAACTCAATATTTATTAATTTAAAAATAATTTTTAAAATAAGTCTAAAATAAATTCTTCATGTTACATTGAAAGGATTTAAGAAAAAAAAATTTCAAATGCTTATTCCTCATTTTTGTAGATTTATATTTCACAATTTTTTTTTTCGCTACTTATTTATTAATTTTTAAAAATTTACATATTCAGTAAAAATGGAAATTAGATTAACTTATCCATAGTTCAAGCATTTTGAATCTTATTGATGTGCAAAAATATTAGTTTTTTTCTTACGAAATAATTAAAAACAGAAAAGAAGATGGGAAAAATATTTTATCGTCATTGTTGATATTATGTTGTGAAACTTCTTGAAAGTGATAAACTAAAATATATAAATAATAAGATATAAATCCTGATTTATATATGCAAATTCCTATTAAATTGATTTCCTAAATGTGCTTGTGATGCAAATGTTCTTCATATGAATAAAAACATAAATACCTTGCAAGGGATAATTTAAAAATTTAATATATTACTCCCAAAACTTATGAATGCCTACTTCCCGAACAATATGTCTTTTACCATAGAAATTTCGTAAATTTTTTAATGGTCCCCAGAATAATAACGCTATTAATTCGGTTTGAAAGATAAAATAATTCATTCTTCAAATAAATGAATACTTTTTTAATGATTAAAATCTTTATATTTGTGGATTGCAATGAAATAATGCATTTAAATTAATTCTTAAAATATTAATAAGTTTTTCAAAAATGTGAATCAGTATGTTAAAATTTATCTTTAATTTCTTAATGTAAACATCCAATGATTTAAGACAATTTCTTCTTAAAATAATAGTAATGATTTTTTTTTTTAAATTTTATAGAAGCATTTTAAAAATTTCAATCACGTTAATGGGTTTTCGATGTGATTTTAACATTAATAATTCATACAAATGCATCTAATAATAAGCTAAACATTTTTCTTAATTGTTTTTAACCTTTATTCTAATAAATAGATAAAAATAATATAATAAAATACACTTTCTATTGTTCCAAATGTAATTGATTAGGTGGTACCGTTTTATAAATGATTTTCTGCTTTTATGAAAATTGTTTTTCTGAAATTGTGAATTCGTATTAAAAGATGAGTTTAATATATTAAGGAAATAAAAATTTTTGCTGAACAATTAAACCTAAATGCAAAAGATATAACAAAATTCTGCGAATATTTGAGAATTTACGAAATGGCAGAGATTTTATATCATGAATTTCCAATAAATAAAACAGTTAATTTTTTTTAATATAACAATGTTTTTTTTTTAATGCTCCGTAATCCGATTTGAAAACAATCACCAAGCAAACACCAATATGTAGCAGATTCAACTTTATTCAGGGTGAACCCTATGTGAATTATATTCTATTGTATAATCCCATTTTGAAGCACAATATTAAAAAAAAATTAAATGAAAGCTTCTGACAGATATTCGCTTTCCCCTAAGAGTCGAAAGGACTTAAAAATTTATGGCCTAAAATTTCCGTTCAAAGAATGCGAATTTTTGGTAGAACTTTCCTTGTCTGGAAGTGAATTAACCCTTGTAAATAATCTTCTATTTTGTAATCACATTTTGAAACTACAAGGTAATCAAACATCTACAAGGGTATCTTCTAAGAGGATTTTAAAGGACATTCCGACTTACAAATTTATCGTTCACCCTTCTCTTTTAAAGAATGTACATTTTTGGTTCGACGTCCATTGTCGGGCAAGAAACCATTCCGTGTGAATTATACTCCAATAGGTAATCACATTTTGAAACCACGATGTTTAAAAATATCTACAAGGGTGGCGTCTGAGAGGTATTCAGTTTCCCCTACGAGTCGTAAGGACATTCCGACTTACAAATTTATCACCACATTTCACTTTTAGAGAACGTAAATTTTGTTTTAAATTTCCTTATAGGGAAGGGAGTTATCCTTAGTGAAATATCTTCTACTATGTAATCACGTTTTTTTGAAACCACAATGTTAAAAAAACATATACAAGTGTGACTTTTGAGAGGTATTCAGAAATGGACATGGAGTCGAATGGACATTCCGACTTACAAATTTATCCCAAAAATTTTTATTATGAAACCATTTCCATTAAAAGAACGTAATTGTTTTTCGACTTCCTTTTTCGGAAGATGAATTATTCCTTGTGAATTATATTTTATTGTGCAATCACATTTGAAATTACAATGCTAAGCAAACATCTACAAGTTTAGTGTCCGAGAGGAATTCACTTTGCCCTAAGATTTGAAAGGAAACTCCGACTTACAAATGTATTGCCACCTCTCTTCTCATTTAAAGAATGTAAATTTTTTATTCGACTTCCCTTGTCAGGTATTAAAAGTAGATCCATACTTGTTTTCAGGCCCAAAGAACAGTCCACCACAATCTCCCAAGAGAAGAACAAAATCAAAAACATATGTTTAAATACCTGAAAAAAGAAATATTGATATATGATTATAACATATATTGATGTATTATTATTAATTAAATATTGATGTATTATTATTAATTAAATATTGATGCATCGTTAAATCAAATATTGATGTCTAAATATTAAATACATATTGATGTTTTATTAAATGAAATATCAATGCCTTAGTGTTAATTAATTGTTGCTGTATGATTACATCAAATATTGCTGGTTAAATATTATTTTCGTATTGATGTATCGTTAAATCATTCAATTTTCAGGAAAGTTAATTTTTCTCTATACATAAAAATTTATGCAAAACTAAACAATATGTTTGTTGTTGTTTCTTATCCCACTTGGCTGGCCAAGCCCACGAGCCCATACGTGCTAATGATTGAAGGGGAAGGAAGCAGCTTCTGTTGTGATGGAGCACCCGTAAGTAGAAGCCTGACTTTTGCTCCGTGACGCTCTTACAGTCATAGGAGACCGGGACCTACGGCTTAAAATTCCGAACCACTACAAACATCCATGGCACCGCCGGGATTTTGGCACCGAGCGCCAGAAGACACTCGGCCATTCAGGTCCCAAATTTGCCAACGGCACGCGTTGTTCCCAGGTGGTCATAATACTGAAATGATGCTTCACTTCGGTGATCGAACGAGAACCGGTATATTCAGCATGGTATGGCCGTTGGCTTACTAAACAATATAAAATAGGAATTAAACTTCTTGATAAGTATTTCGATAAAATAATTGTTTATTATAATTAAAATATTCAATATAATAAAATATTTCAAATGATTAAAAGAGACAGGTATATCATTTATTTTAGGTAATCTCTAGAAAAGATATTTAAACATATAAATTTATAACATAGATTTAACATGTATAGGTTATTTAATAAATGTAAATCGGCGAATACGAACAATGGTTTTATGCATGGGCATTTCAATTATTCTGATATGTCAATTCGATAAGCTATTTAATGAATTTTACCTAATACAATCCAATTTCAAATGATCAATTCTCACGTTTTAAAGGCCACGATATGGTATCAAGTTATGAATTAGGTGTACACTATTAGATAACAAAAGGCAGAATTACCCAAACTATTGTTATTTACTCCTCATTTTAATTTATTTACTTTATTCAGTCTTGTATATTATGATCTATATTTAATAGTGTTTTATTGTAATCAATTATAAAATTCAATAGCTGAGAGGATATTTAACGTTTAAAAGCATTTAATGGGACAACGATGCTTTGAAATATTTATTGAATGCTTATCTTTATCTTGAATCATGATTATGTATTTTCATTAGACAAAGAAAATGGAATTTATAATTTAAATCAATGAACCATTTAGAAAGATCAACACAATTTCATTTTCGATAATTCAAAGTAGGCATCAACTCTAAAAGACATTAGCGTATGATGTTTACCATGACAGTTTACTCTATGATGTTGGAGAGTCAGAATTACACAAACGGTTGTAATTCAGTTCATATTTTTTTATTTACTTCATTTAGTGATGTTGATTTAGAGAATACATGCTAAACAGAGTTTTAATGTAATCATTTATAAAATTCAATGGTTGAGAGGATATTTAACGCTATTTAGGAATTATCTATACACTAATAGATAACCGAAGGTAGAATAACCCAAACTGTTGTTATTTAGTCCGCATTTTAATTTATTTAGTCAAGTCTATTATGATCTATATTGATTTCAGTTTCATCGTAATCATACATAATATTCAATACGCAACATGATATTTAATGTTTAAAGCATTTAATGGAACACTGATGTTTTAAAATAATGAATAAAGAGTATAATGATTATATATCTCTGTTATTTAAAGAAAATAGAATCTGTCACTTATATCAATAAAGCCATTGGAGAAGATCAACACAATTTTATTTTCGATAATTCAAAATAGTCATGAGCTATAAAACGATTAGTATATGATGTTTATCCTGAAAGCCGTTTATGCAGCCATTAATGAAAGAATAAATTCTAAAAGCAGATGGAAATGGCGAAAACTGTTTCTCTGAGAGCAGAACTAATTCAGAACTCACACATCACATTTCGAATAGAAAAAGATAACATTCTACGATACACACTCCGCATCAGTAATGATTCTAGAAATTATACGATAAGATTACACCTGCTTGTGAAAGATTCCTCGGTGTTTAGCTATTAATAACTTCATTTTCCGACACCGATGGTGGCATCACTGAATATATCGTCTGCGCCTTTTCGCTTGTAATTCCAGCAAACCATTTGAAGCACGCTAATAGAAAACAAATGGTTTTTGGCTAACGTCGCGCTGAATTTTAACGGCGTGTGCTAAATGAAACGCGTCGTTTAAAGATGGAAAAATATTTTAAATGATGATGGGGTGCCTTCGTTAAATGGCGAGATGCGATTAACTGGGATAGGCTGGATAATGTGCGTGTTGCCAAATGCATTTCTCATAATTACGTATTTTAAAAACATCGTTCCGGAAAATGGCGTGAAATAGATTTAAAAATTATTCTAATTTTCTTCTGTAATTGTAAGTTTCGTTGAAATAATGTAACGCCATCATTAGTTTTTTGCAGATAGTATATTCGTTTAAATTCTGAAAGTGTCATTAGTGAAAATTAAATCAGCAAAAAAATTCCCCTTCCTTCTTGGTCTGTTCATAATTAGTTATGAAGGTAAGATTTAATAACCGTGTCTTGTAAATTAAGGTGTGTAATTATGAGTTTTGAAACATCAAACGTGTTTTATAGATAGTCTTATTAGATTTATCTGTAATGGATTTAATACATTGGGTTGCAATAACAGATAAATTAATTTGATATAATATATGGAATTTCCTAGAATAAAGTAGTTTACTTTTTTCAGAAAATGATTAGGAAGAATTTAAATGTATGAATAGGAAACCAGAAAATGAATTTATTTTATTAATTACATGGTTGATGTGTTTTTGAAATTGTTAATTATTCGCTTAATCTTACTTGATAGTTAATCAAAAAACTAGAATATAATTAATTTACATAAATTGTTCTTTTTCATTATAAACAATTTATAATTCCAAATGTATGTATTAGGCATTTTTGATATTTAATAAACTAAGCAATAAGTGATCTATCAGCAGTATGCAACAGCTATAAGTAATTTGTTATTTCTTCTGAGTTAAAATACTATTAAATTAAAAAATATATATATTATTATATTAATCTTCAAATAAGTTTATATATTTTATTAAACACACTAAAAGATGATGTATCAACATTAATTAAATATTGTTATATCAGTAAACCAAATGTTGATTTAATAATATTAATTAAATCTTGATGGATCATTAAATTTTCCCAAAAATTAATTTTTCGCATGCGAAGAAAAAGGAAAAATCCCTCGATATTAAATAATAACTAAAGTTCTTAATAAGTACTGCAATTAAAAATTGTTTATCATAATTACAGAATTTAATATAATAAGAGATCTTAAATGATTAAAAAGTGTTGAAGATATCTAATTTTTGTAGGCACACTCTATAAATAACCAGACGTATTACATTTAAACATATCGGTTTACAATATACATTTAATATGTATAAGTTATTTAATAAATGTAAATCGGCGAATACGAACAATGGTTGTATGCATGTGGCATTTAACTTATTGCATTATGTCTATTCGTTAAGCTATTTAATGTATTGTGCCCAATTGAATTAAATTTCAATTCAACATTTCTCATGCTCCAAAGGACACATTGAATCATGTTATGAATTTGATGTACACTAATAGATAACAAAAGGCGAAATATTGTTATTTTGTCCCCATTTTAATTTATTTACTTCATTTAGTCTTGTCTATTATGATATATATTGAATAGAGTACCAGTGTTATCATTTATAAAAATCAATTGATAACTTTTAAAAGCATTTGATGGGATACTAATGTTTTAAAATATTTAGTGAATAACATATATCATGATTAACATTAGACAAAGAAAACAGAATCTGAAATTTATATCAATGAAGCCATTTGGTAAGATCAACAAAATTTCATTTTCGATAATTCCAAGTAGGTACGTAAAGCATCAACTCTAAAAGACATTAGCATATGATGTTTATCCAGATAACAGTTTAAGCAGCCATTAATGAAAGAATACATGCTAAAAGCAAATGGAAGTGGCGAAAAGTGCTTCTCAGAGTGCAGAACTAATTCAGAACTGAAATATCACATTTCGAATAGAAACCTATAACATTCTACGATACACAGTCCACGCCAATAATGATTCTGGAAATTATATGAGAATTTTCCACCTGCTTGTGAAAGATTGCTGGGTGTTTAGCTGTTAACAACTTCATTTTCTGACACCAATGGTGGCATCACTTAATATATCGTCTGCGTCTTTTCGGTTGTAATTCCAGCAAACCATTTGAAGCGCGCTAATAGAAAACAAATGGTTTTTGGCTAACGTCGCGCTGAGCTTTAACGTCGTGAGCTAAATGAAACGAGTCGTTTGAAGATGGAAAATATTTTAAATGCTGATGGGATGCCTTCGTTAAATAGCGAGATGTGATTGGCTGGGCAGGCTGGACAATGTGCGTGTTGCCAAATGCATTTCTCACAATTACGTATTTTAGAAACGTCGTTCCAAAAAATAGCGTAAAACAGATTAAAAAAAAAATAGTGTGATTTTCTCCTCTAATTGTAAGTTTCGTTGAAATAATGTAACATCTTCATTAGCATTTTTTTTTCCCGATAGTATATTCGTTTTAATTCGGAAAGAGTCATTAGCTGAAATTAAATCAGCAAAAAAATTTCCTTTCCTTTATGGCTTGTTCATAATTAGTCATGAAGGTAAGATTTAATAACCATGTCTAGTAAATTAAGGCGTGCAATTATGAATTTGAAACATCGAAGGTGTTTTACAGATGATGTTATTAGATTTATCTGTAATGGGTTTAATGCATTGGGTTGCAATGACAGATAAATTAGTCTGATTCAATTTGTGGTGTATCATAGTATAAATTAATTTACTTTTTTCTGTAACTGATTAGGAAATAATTTAAATGTATAAATAGGAAACCATGAAATGAAATTATATTTATTACACGGTTGTGGTGTTTTGGAAATAGTTAAATATTCAGTTAATCTTAATTGATTATTAATCATGAAACTAGCGTGAAATTGATTTATTTAAATTATTTATTTAATCTATATAAAAAAAAATTATAATGTAAATTGTACTTATAAGCAATAAATAATTCCAATTATATATAATATAGATATTTGATATTAAATAGCCAAAACAATAATTGATCTATAAACAATATGCAATAAATACAAGCAATTTGTAATTTCTTCTGAGTTAAAATACTATTAAATTAAAAAAAAAAACATTAAAGTAATCTTTAAAAAAAATTGCATATTTTATTAAAAACTCTAAAAGATAATGTATTAAAATTAATTAAATATTCTTGTACAAGTAAATCAAATGTTAAATTTTTAATATTAATCAAATGTTGTTGCATTATTTAATCATTAAATTTTCACAATAATTAAATTTTTGCTTGCAAAAAAAATATACGTAAACATCATCCGATATTAAATAATAATGAAACTTCTTAATAATTACTTCAATAAAATATTTATTTATTATAATGTAATAAAACATCTTAAATGATTAAAAA